TATAATTGAAAAGATCGATTTTGTTTTTTAGGTGTTATTTCCATGTCCTAATCCTTTTGGTTATGCTGGATTTTTTTAGATTATGACTTTTCTTCTGGAAATCAGGTATTGTTTCGATGCATGGGCCTTTTTGGGCTCTTAGGTTTTCTGTTATCCTGATATCTATTCTGTAATTTGGGATCTTTTTCTGCATGCTCTGGCTTCTGGTTTCTTCTGCTGAATCCATGGATATCTCGAAACTTTGTGTCTTTCTTTTGTAATCTGAAATCTTTCTTGTATTTTTTTCCTCTGGATTTTGAAACAAAACATTTCATTTTGAAATAAACAAATTGTCTTTCTAACTGTGCAGAAATTTCGCTAACCATGTGTCAGTGGAAAACCGACTAATGGAACATTGCTTGTAGAAACCGATCATTGGATTGTCGCCTTAGTCATTTTCGTTCCTCCGATCCTCATTTTGCTTAGTAGTTTTTTTTTTACTTTTTTAAAATTAGATTACATTGAGGGATATTCCAGATTCGCGCTACTTTTGTTCTTCAACAATGTTTAACATCTATCTTCTGTATTTCCAAACTCTCAACCAATCGAAGGCCTTCTCTGCTTATTCTAGGCCTCATCTATCCTAGGACCCCTCATACGCTGCGTCGATCAACATAGCAAAGAGCAACCTGATTATAGAGTTTGCTTATGTGCTAAATGAAGTCTGCAACATCCTGACACTTCTGCAGATCAGAGCCAGAGAGGCATATGGATGGAGAAAATAAAACATAATGATGTATTTATTTCAGTGATTACATTTGCGTTAAACTTTGTTTTTTTGGAGTTTGCAAACGGTTATCCGTGAATTTGTTGAAAAGACAGAGAAAAACTATTTCGCCTCCTAATTCGATTCGCAGAGTGCCAAATAGCACCATCTAAAAACTGGTATGTTTGGCACTTTTTACAATGGTAACTGCTAAGTATTCATCTCCTTATTTAGATGTACGTAGTTATTGGGGTGAGTTTAATACTTTATTTAGCAAAACTTGACGTATTTATTCTTGTGCCAGCTTGGTATATCTGTATCAACGAAAACTGAATTAGGTCTAATCCTGCCGGTTGATCTTTCATTTCCCTATGTCTCCCATCTTCATGGCGCAAATAAGTACAATAGCATTTTAGACGTTGACAGTTAATGCAAAGAGGCCTGATACAGATAGAGTAAAGGAGTTATTGTCAAGCATAACATGTGTATTTTGACACTGTCTAAACATTCTCAACTTCCGTAGAGCGGTACAAATGCTAAGTTTTCAGACTTGCAAATTCCAAATTATTTTGTATGTGATGTTACAATCCACGAAATGAAAGTTGGAACTACAAATTGTCCAAAAAGTCTTGAAAGTTTTCCAAATTTGATATTTCTTCGTACTTGCAGTCCTACAAACCGCCAAGGCGTCCAACGTCTCGAGTGATTCAATACAAAGACTTTATTACTTTTATTACGTAATCCATGCCACTCATTAGCGCAACTACTTAAGAGTGTATAAGTAAGGGAGGTGACTACTTCCGTGCTGTCGGCGAAACGCTCAAAGAATGGTTCAAGTTAAACAGAAGAGAAGAAAAATTCTGGTAATATCACCCTTATGCCTTTTCTGGCAATCAAAGCATCCAGAACTGGAGCTTACGCTGCCATGCTCTCAATTAGCTTTATCCTTAGCCGTAAGCCTACCTAAATCATTGCTTTTGATTTTCGCGCATTTTGAGCAAATACTAATTTCTTAAAATGATTGGCTCAAAATTGGATTTTTTATTGCGGCTATCAGAAAAGCACTCAAGAAATTACATTATGGCCTATAACGGTATATAACTAGTAGTATATATATTAGGCAACTATACGGAGAACCTAGTTGCTGTTACAACGAAAAGTTCTCGTTTGAAAACTCTCAAAGCTATTCGAGCAACATTATGTATATTAAACATTATTGCTCCAATTTTCATGTATTGTTATTTAATAACTAAATTAAACTGTTAAAATTCATTCTTGCCTATCAAAAAGCTTTTCGGCAAACTAGCAGTGCGCAGAAGAATAGCGATCATTTTTTTGGCTTAACGTGGTAAAAGAGATCTTATTTCACAAACAGTATGTTGTGACTAAATCAAGAAAGCATTCGTTCACTAATACGACCTTTAGATCTAAAAGTATGTTCTTGTGGTAGTAAATGAGGGTTTGCAAAAATAATATTGCAAAGGCTTTAAGGTTATCACTTTTTGTATAAACTGTCAATTTTTGAATAATTAACCAATACCAAATGGTGTTAAACGTTGTTATAAATGTCATTTATGACGAGCCATTTAAAAATGTTGAAATAGGAATGGAACCTACTGAAACTTTTCAGTAACTTTGCATAATGGACATGCTCTAAAGTTACATGTTCATCCTTCCTTTTGCAAATGTTGATGAGGAGATGACCGACCATCTCTAGTGATTTACCAAGAATTATTTGGAGCAAATTTGTTATATAACAGAGGATTCTCCAAATATTGTTTGTAGCTTACTACCGCTTAAAAATCGCCAAAATTTCAACGAGCTGTCAATATCCAAGCAAATTTAGCTCTCAACAATTCGCTTTGAAACTCATCTCTAAAACAATACCGCTCATACTTCTACGAAAAAAACGTGATTTCACAAAAAATCTTCTGACTTGCTCCTTTTAACTGTTACTCCTCCCTGCCACTGTATAGTTGTAAGTAGAAAAGGACACTGTTTTGGATTGTGCAGAACTTTCTAACTTCCCAAGTCCTCTTAAATAGGGCCTTCGCAAAAGATGACACTTTGCCGCTTGATAAAAGCGCTTAATTAGGTCTTAGTTACATTGTGTTATTTAATTATGCTTCATAAACAACATTGAGATCTATAATTATGAAAAGGTGGGATAGTGCAGCTCCAACATAATATTTTAAAAATAAACAAATCTTTGACATGTTCCTTCATAACTTCTACTGGCATGCTGAAGTGCGGTGTACTATAATTTCTGTAACCTAATAAAATTCCTTAATAAACTATAGTTTACCGTCATATAGTGTAGGATAGTACAGCAAACTTTAGCATAGGATAGTATTCCTCGGCAAAATGCATGTACTATATGTAGTATAGTGCAGATACGTAGCACAAAGGAATGCTAAATGCAGCAACACCCCGTGATATACGTATTCAGAATATA